GGGGGAAATCACGAATAACCAACGAGCCTAGCTGAGTTGGTACACCCACAACTGTTGAAATACAGATCCACGTTCGATTCCAGATACCACCAAAAAAAATGACCAGAAATTTCTGAATTACAGTCATTGACGATTCCTTGGGGCCCGGTCAGTTCAATGATGATATCTCAAGGCCGTCGCCCTTTTTCTTATAAAAAAAAAACAAAAAAAAACGAATACCTTAGATCTTGTAGATTGGTTTGTTGATTAGACCTAGGGCCACGCCCCGCTTATCCGTATCCTTCATTTCTGACCGTAGATTGCAAAAGATCGACGACGGTCGGGAATGTACAATTTCAGCAAGTGGGATTTGGCTCCTGGGCTCTGATTCCTGGTGGTTCGAGATCCCACTACGTAGCAACGAGGATCGGATTTAGTGTCTGAACCTGGATGTGTTTTATGCAGAGATCCAGAAAAGCAGTTCAGTCTTGATTTTCTGCACCTTTTCAACTAACACGTCCAGATTCAGTCATTCGATCCAATCCTTTGTGCTAGTGAGACCTCGCCCCTGAAAATTTCGTCTGTGCTGCCATTATACTAATTCATATGGGTATCCCTTGGGCCGCAGCCTATCCTCTACAGCTGAGGCAAAAGAAGAAGAAGAAGAAGAAGAAGAAGAAGAAGAAGAAGAAGAAGAAGGAAATAAAGTCCATAGCTGACGCTTCAGAAAAAAAAGCGGAAAAAGAAATGGATGCAATCAATTTATTAGCTTTGGCTACGTCTTTTTTTTTTTTTTTTTTTTTTTTTTGACGACTGCTGCTGTAGCTGGGCTTTGGTTCCTCGAAGAACTTCGCCTGTGCCACTATCAGAATCCATCGGGATCCGGACATCCGGTGGCCTGTAGATCATCCGCGACATCGAAGTTATTAAGTAGAAACAAAAAAAAGAAAAAAAGAAAGGAATTCATCCCGACCCGACCCGACATTCTAGATCTGGCTGATGGTTGTTGATTAGACGTGGGCTGCGATCCCGATCCATCAGCACAAGGTCTAATTACTGGAGCTTTGCCTGTGCGCGTACACGTGGCATGGAAGTGTCCACTGCACAGTGTAAGAACAGGTGAGGCAGCAGCAGCTGCAGAATCAGAAGGGAGGAGGAGGAGGAGGAGGAGGAGGAGGGCGATGCCAGGAACAGAGCAACACGGGAGCGAGAGAGAGACAGCGGTAGGAGTAATGGGAGTAGGAGTGAGAGATTAGGAGGAGCAATTGGAGAATTGGTGGGAGGAGGGATGGGAGGAGAGGGAGGAGAGGGAGGAGAGGGAGTTACGCCGGAAGTGGGCAAGGATCGGGGGACCCTACGTTAAGTTCCCGTACACTGACTGTCTAGGCGAGGGAGGTGGACTGTCTAGGCAATAGCTGTGTCACAAGGAGGAGATGGGTTAGGACGAGGAGGAGGGAGGAATAGGAGGGGGGAGGAATAGGAGGTGACACGTGTATATCGAGGAATTAAATTGTCCATAAAAATAGAAAGGAGGAGGAGGTGAAGGACAAGAAGATTTGAAGGGGAAGTAAGAGGAGGAGGAGGCGGAGAGAGAGTAGTAGCAGATAGACTATCGGGAGCATCAGCAGCAGCAGGCGGGGGAGAGAGAGGAGGAGGGGGACGAGGGGGAGGAGGGGAAGAGAAAGGAGTGGAGTAGGAGCAAGGAGGAGAGGTGAACCAGATGAGAAGATGATGATAAACGATGAGTACCCAAGTGCGACCATGATGATGATGATGATGATGATGATGATGATGATGAGGAGGAGGAGGAGGAGGAGGAGGAAGAGGAGGAGGAGGGGGAAGAGGAGGAGGGAGGAGGAGGGAGAAGGGGAAGTACCATGATTGACGATGACGATGATGATGATGATGGGGATGGCGATGATGATGATGAGGCGGGGAAGGAGGAGGAGGAGAAAGAGGGAGGAGGAGGGGGGAGGAAAAGGGAGGAGGGGGGGGAGGACCACGGTGGTCTAGAAGAGCAAAGAATAACTAATGGCATCTTCACTTTTTCTACTGAACATGAGCGTAATTACGGTCAGATATATTCAGCAAAATTCGATGTCGAGGGGAGACCTTGGGTTTGTTTCATCGAGGATACTGAACATGAACGTAATTACAGTCAGATACACAAGTGTTCATGGCCATTCTCTTGTTCATGAACGACCATTTCGTCAAAATGGACATTTTTTATTTTTTGAACGAATTGAAACCGAGTTTTTTGGTTGAAAACTCGTCAAAATTTGCTGTTCCTGAGGGTCCAGCGTTTTACAAACGCCGGACCCTCAGGAACAACAAATTTTGACGAGTTACAAACGCCGGACCCTCAGGAACAACAAATTTTGACGAGTTTTCAGCCAAAAAACTCGGTTTCAATTTCGTTCAAAAAATAAAAGATGTCCATTTTGACGAAATGGCAGTTCATGGTCTTTCTCTTTGCATCAATCGAATGAATGTCAAGTGGTGTATGACTTGATATCTCTTAGCCCGTGCTGACACTAGGACTTCCCTGAAATGATCCTTTTTTTTTTTTTTTTTTTTTTTTTTTGGAACTTCAGGACGGGAGCCCACTTAAGAGGGTGATATAGAGTAACCCCCCGATCTCCCTTCAGATCAGTCTGACATCTAGCCAGCCAGAGAAGAACTTTGTATTGGTTTAGCTTGTGTCTGTTCGGGTTTAGCTTCGGCCTATACCTGGTACTCAATGCTGCAATAACCCATGCCATATGTCTCGCAGAATGTCTGAGGGCCTACTTGGCCGCCCTCAGCCCAGGCCAAAATGGGGAAAAGACCCCACTCGAAAATTCAGGGCGTGGACGACTGTGGGCCCAGACAGTTGACTTTTGACACCAACAGTCAAAGTCCAAAGGTACCCAGCCCAGACCGCCGGTCAAGCACACACACTTGTTTGTATGCAGGTACCCAGACAGCATCAGGTCCAAGGGAGAAGTCTGCAACTGTACACAATCGGTGTGCAGGTACCCAGACACATCAGGTCCAAGGGGAAGTCTGCAACTGTACACAATCGGGGGCCTCGGTTGTGAGGCAATCTGGACGACTGAGGGAACAGGACTCGAGGCCAGAAAGCCTCGTCAAATGCTACTTAAAGCCTGGCCTCGAGGTGGTCTGCATTCGGTATTGCTATGCTGCTTGAACGCTGGCTTGACTTTCACTGCGCTGGCGAAGTGCTGGCTCGGCGCTGGCTGTGTGCTAGCACCGCGGACGACAACAAGGACTGTGGTGACATGCTGGCGCGTTCTGCATTGTGCCCCAGGCGTGCTGATGTGGTGCTGCCTCTGGTCTACATGGCATGCTGATGTGGTGCTACCTCTGGTCTATGTGTCGCTGCCTCTGGTCTACATTGCATGCTGATGTGGCGCTGCCTCTGGTCCATGTGGCGCTGCCTCTGGTCTACATTGCATGCTGATGTGGCGCTACCTCTGGTCTACATTGCATGCTGATGCTGATGTGGCACCTGCCACTAGTCTACATTGCTGATGGGGAGCGTGTCACTGGACTCCATTGATGATGTGGTGCATGCCATCTGTCTTGACTGCTGACGTGGCATTGTCCACGCTGTCTACATGAGGTGACTGGTTGCAGGGAAGAGGAAGATCGGGATCTGTGGAGGATTAGCATCGGATACTCACCTGAGGTTGATGTTGTCACTGTAATCTGCTGTGTCTTCATGGACTTCATGAGATGAGAGTGCCACGTGGCACTATTGTGTGATCAGGATTATTATACTTGTTATCATGTATTGGTGGTTGACGAGGAGGAGGAAGAAGCCCGGAGAAGGAGAGGGGTTTGACGGGATTGCTCTTGTGTGATCTTGGCTCATCTCTTCGTCTATTGGTAATGAGATACTGTTTGAATTATCACTTCTCGATTTGGAGACTTTGTTGCCGATACTGAGTCTACTTGTATTTGACGACTGATGAGTCACATGCCAGACTGGGTTCATTACAATGATGTCATCTAAGACATTTTGTATCCATGGATCGAGGAAGGTGACATTGGTCTGCAAGAAGGAAACTGATTCTTAGGAAGTGCTAACAACCTCAAGGCATGAAAGCAAGATAGGTGTTGGTTGGGGAAAAAGAAAGAAAGAAAAAAGTTCAATAAACGAAGATAGGTATGGGAATCAGGAAGGGGACATTGACAAAGGGGTGTCAAAACAATCAGTCAAATCAATCAGTCAAATCAATCAAATCAGTAAGGAAATCAGTTCAATCAATGAAATCAGATGGATCAATCAATCAGATCGATCAATCAATCAAGGGCTAGGCTGGCAGATTGGCCTGGGACCACTTGCCCACCCGGACCCAAAAAGAATCCACCTTTGGTTGGTTTTCCCCAAGGAGATACTGACCTCTTGTACGTCCACCTCCTCCTCCTCCTCCTCCTCCTCCTCCTTCTCCTCCATGAGGATGGTCTATAGTCTGTAGGATCAGTTGCAAAATGACGAACAACGGGGCCTTACAATTTCACTAATTTTCCTTTTTTTTAAATTTGGTAGAAAAGTTCGGTCTGACCCTGAGGCAGAAGCTGTTCAAGGGGGCAAAAAAAAAAAAGGTTGTTCAGTATCCAGTGGCCTACCGTCTTCACCCGAATAGAACATGCCCGGTCATTATGGCTGCATCTGGACTGAACTTTGCCCCAAATACGGCTATGATGACCAGGCGTTGGTAAGGCACGCAAGTGGCATTCGGGAGTCTTGGGTTCAATCCCCATTGGCCTCAAGTACCTTCTTGGGCGAGCTTGGCACCTGCCACCTAGAGATGGGCCGTTGGTCCCCCAGAGCGGCATTGAGCAGAGACTGCTGATGTTCGTAGGGGGGGGGGGGAATGAAGGGGAGGCACAGCAACTGGCCCATCGAAGAAGCTCGGTCCTGATGCTAGTGGCTGACCCCTGGCCGGTATCGCCCACCTGCTGAAGCAGTTNGAGAGAGAGAGAGAGAGAGAGAGAGAGAGAGAGAGAGAGAGAGAGAGAGAGAGAGAGAGTTGCAATATTGGACAACACGTGCGAGGCTTTACTTTCACAGAATGCACGTCCTGTCCATGGCATGCGACCAAAGCAGTCGCGATCACCCTTTTACCTCTCTGCTCAGGTAATCTTTTCAGCCATTATCATCAATATGTATACCCTTTGGTCCAAACACTTCCCCGTCCAGCTGAACCCTAGTCCCTACAGTCTCCTCTCATCATCGTGTCATTGTCGCATTGCTGAATTTCCACCGTTTAGATGTTTGTGTAGCCGCGATATGTCAAAAAATCGTCCTTCTCCGAAAATATCCACGGCGTCTTCTGCCCTTGAAGCATCATTGTCGTTGCTGCTGATATCTTGATGCTCTTGTGGTCGTGATGTGCCAATACGTTCATTTCCGAAAATGTTCTGCGTCTTCATATCCCATAAGTCCCTTGGTAACGTTTTTAGGTACCCTTCAATTCCGTCTTTTTTCTCGTATGTGAATTACAAAATTCAGAATTCGGAATTCGGAATTTGAAAATTGCGTCTTTATATCCCCTGAAGTACCCTGGTAATGTTTTCACGTATCCTTGAATTCCTTCCTCGTTCGTGAATTTTTATTATTATTACAAATTTTGGATTTCGGAATTTGGATTTTACTCTTGTCCTCCCGAGTGTTGTATCGGTTCAACTTCCGAGTTCGGAGATTGATTTGTTTCTTGTTGGCTGGTACGTGTTCCAGAGAGCCTTGTCTTGAATTCACATTTGTTTCGTATGTTCTTATATTCTCACCTTTGGGAAATCCTATTTGGCCTTCTCACTTGGATTCCGACCAGGTTTTTATATTTGGACATGTCTTTGTGCGATTCCTTTGATATTCTGAAGAGAGGTCCCCGTTGCCGTATTTGTGTTTCAGCCTTGGGTACTTTGGCTGTTTTATCTTTTATATGTTGTTCAGTTGAGAGAGCGCTTTGCTGTTTTATCTTTTCGTCATTGTTTTTGTGTTATTTTCTTTGTTTTACCGACGCATTCTGTCTTCTTTGTTTAGAAATTCTAAGAAGATATGTCGCACTGTGTTGTCTGTACAGTTCCTGATGAAGCCCAGAATTGCCGATCGTGTTGTCTTCCACGGGTGATCCAACAATTGAAGCTCGGTGCAATATAATTCCAATATGGTGGACAAATCGTTCATGTCATATGTGTTCTTTGTCATTCTGTGGAAAGTGCCGATGATCGTCAACACTTTCATGTTCACGGAGCCGACACTCCGGAAATGACGGATAGACCGAAGAGAGAGAGAGAGAGAGAGAGAGAGAGAGAGAGAGAGAGAGAGAGAGAGAGAGAGAGAGAGCATGTAGGAAAGAATTTGAATAGGGTAGAATCGTTTAGATAAGAAGTTTGTTTGTTCTGAAAAGTTAAGACAATGGTCAGTGTATTTCTGAAAAGTTTAAATGAGGGTTAGTGTATTTGCAGAGTCACAGAATAGGGGACAGCATGGAACATCTATGAATAAGCAGAAAGGTCGTAGTTGAGAAAAAGGCATCAGCCGTTCAGGCATGAGTTGAATAAATGGGCTGCAGGGCTGGCTAGGTCATAGAATTCCGTTCTGGGGCCGGCAACACTTGCTGGCTAGGTCATAGAATTCCTTTCTCCCTTTCTCTCCCTCTCTCCCTTTCTCCCTTTCTCTCTCCCTTTCTCCCTTTCTCCATTCCTCCCTTTCTCCCTTTCTCCCTTTCTGCTCTGGTCTGGGGTCGGCAACACTTGCTGGCTAGGTCATAGAATTCCTTTCTCCCTCTCTCCCTCTCCCTTTCTCCCTTTCTCCCTTTCTCCCTTTCTCTCTCCCTTTCTCTCTCCCTTTCTCTCTCCCTTTCTCTCTCCCTTTCTCTCTCCCTTTCTCYCTCCCTYTCTCCCTTTCTCCCTTTCTCCCTTTCTCCCTTTCTCTCTCCCTTTCTCCCTTTCTCCCTTCCTTTCTCCCTTTCTCTCTCCCTTTCTCCCTTTCTCCCTTTCTCCCTTTCTCCCTTTCTCCCTTTCTGCTCTGGTCTGGGGCCGGCAACAGTTGCTGCTCCCCATGAATTTTACAGAGCCATGAAGAGTCGTGTGTGTGATCATAGAATTCCGGCAAAGGTCTCTCTACAATTGGGTGCATAAAGTACAATGTCTTTTCTGTTTTTCAATTGGGCAAAAACTCTACTGCCAACTGGGGTGTGGACAGGGTTGGCTTTATGTGGGTTTTGACAGGGTTGGCTTTATGTGGGTTTTCCCTTTTGGTGATTGCGGCAGAAATGACCTGTGCTGAGCATGACTCTGTAGGCAGACTTCGGAAGGGGTCAAGGACATAATGTGGAGTTGACGTACATGCCGGCTGTGTTTGTTCTCAGGACGAAGGACTGCCGAGCACCAGTGAGTAGATGACAATTCCAGACAGTAAATCTTCAGCGTGAGTTTTGCAGTTGTTGGAATTTAAGACGTGCAATTGTCGAAGTGTCGCAGAAGCAGCAGCATTGCTGGGTGCTTCTTAACTCACTCACTGTGTGTGGATTCCAACCACAGTCAAGAAGTTGGTTAGCTGCAGGAAGCATGTATGTCTTCAACTGTTCAACGATGTATGTTCTAGACTTCTAAGACTTGCTTCAAGTGCAGCAGCTTTTTCTTTCTTTCTGTTTCTCTCCGTCTTTCCTCGGAAACGAGTTTATAGCCCTTAATTCTTCACATAATGAAACCGAATAGGATCTAAATTGGTATGGGTTTGATGCGTATTGGTCAGCCGCAGGGGTGGTAGTGCTTCAAGCTAATGGCCATTCTCACACTTGTACCTTTTCACAGAATCTGGTCGCAACTGCGGTCTGATACGTTCAAGGAAGTCTGAGCGTCCTGGGAACAGGCCCGGCACTTTGCTAATCACACGCTGTAAATCTCCATGAAGCAGAAACAAGGAGGTTTTCCAAACACAGAAATGTTCATTTGTGAGAGATATGTCAAGACCTTCGGTATAGGTCAGCGTGCAGATTAGTGTGTGGATGTAAAGACACCTTTGCTGTCATCTGTTTGGCGAGCACGCTCACACAATGACAGAGTATGTTTACACATACAAAGTATCTTCAGGCAAGGGAGGTGGAGAAAGAGAGGTAGAGAGGTAGAAAGAATAAGGGGAGGCGTGAGGAAGGTAGAGCAGCAGGTGGGGAGGGAGAGAGAGAGAGAGAGAGAGAGAGAGAGAGAGAGAGAGAGAGAGAGAGAGAGAGAGAGAGAGAGAGAGAGAGAGAGAGAGAGAGAAGGCACTTCTAGTAAACAGGCCATCATGGCAACGCTTACGCAGGCTGTGGGTTCGTTGTTGAGACAACCCGGGCAGACTGCTTGTTGTTCTCTGCACCAAAGATGTCACGGACCACGTTCATGTAGGGTCCGTTTGACTGGATTATGTGTTGGAAAGATTGCATGGATCAGTATACACAGTGTTGCATCCTCTGGGAGCAGTGCACAGCACCCACGCAGAAGTTCGTCTTTCACTAAGGAGTCTCTGTGTAGAACTGCACCGGCCAAACGCTCAACTGGTGCACAGGCCAGGAGACCTCTGGCTCCTTTGGTCACTCTCCTTACCACTGTGTGTACACGATTGATTGCGGATGTAGATTGCCTTAAAAATATGGGGCTCTCTCTCGAGTCCTCGCCCTCTCTGAAGTCTTCTCTCTCTGTATTCTCGGGGACAATGACCGGTGTTGGCAGTGATTGCCATTCGTCAGTGGGACTCATGAATATCGTCTCTCTCCTCTTGTCGGCTACGGTGGATTTCTTGTCTATGCTGAAATTGAAATATCCCTTTTGGTCAGTCGTTGCGGGTCCATCCCCAGAGCGCATACTTTGTGCTGTGAGTGCTAGTACGAGGCAGGTCCTGTACATGGATAGTGAGAGTTCAGAAACAGCAGGTGTAGGGATGGGTAGCAATCGGGCGGCTGGGCTGCAGAACATGGGAGCGGAGGAGGGTACCGGTGATTGGAAACCAGGATTGCCTGATGGGCAGAAAGGGGAGGAGGAAGAAGATTGGTTCTTAGCGAACAGTGGATTGGTGCGGTCTATGCCATTGGTAGTGGGAGGAGTAGGTGGTTGCCTAGTGGTATTGAACAGAGTGCTCTCCGGAGTTGCTCCAGTAGCCGATGCGAGCAGTGGTCAGTCTCGTGCGGATGTTCTGTCACTGGCGCTCTCAGCAACTCTCTTGTTGACTGGTCTTATGTGGAAGAGCGTACAGCCAAAACCGCCCGTGACGGTGCGGCTCCAAGGAGTCGAGTGTCTCCGGATGAATCCTGTTCTGCCTGCTAGGGCTTACGAGGAGCTGTCATGGGCATGGCAACTAGTGCAGAAATCAATGAGGTGTGGAGGTATGGTGGTCATTTACGGCGGACAATGCATGATGCAAGCTGGTACCGCAAGGCAGTCTGAGTCTGGAAGCGGCGAGGCGCAGGTTGTTGATGTCCCTGCTCTAGTAAACAAACCTATTTGCGGGGGGGTTCTGCAGTCTGGGAAGGCGAACTACTTTGGGAATTTGCCGCTTTTCCCTGGCCGTGTTGAGTTTGACTTTCTGCCTTCTAATACTCAGGCTGTTGTAGTTCATCCCTTAGGCGAAGAAGGGCTTCTTATCTTGGCGAGCGATACTGTAAGAGGATTTCGACCGATTGACCAGGCTTGGATTGCCACAATTAGTGAGAAGATCGACTCCACACTTCAGGACGTGCAGGAATTGCAGATTTCTGCTCCCAAACCTTCCCAATAAGGATCACTAGGTCAACCTATTACATCTGTGTGTGTGTGTGTGTGTGTGTGTGTGTGTGTGTGTGTGTGTTTGTGTGTGTGTGTGTATGTGTCTCTTCTTGTGTGTGTGCAGAATGTGTGTGAAATGTGTGTGCACGTGTCTATGCTTGTGTGTGTGCAGAGACACTTTGCTTGTGTGTGCGTGCAACATACAGAGCACTTGGTCAACGTCTGGGAGCTTATCTTTAGCAGTGTGTGTATGTGTCTATGCTTGTGTGTGTGCACAGACTGCGTGTGAATGTGTCTGTGCTTGTGTGTGTGCAGACACTATGCTTGTGTGTGCGTGATACATACAGAGCACTTGGTCAACGTCCGGGAGCTTATCTTTAGCAGTGAAAGTAATAAGTATTGAGCACTACTGGTGGAAGCAGAAATTCACCTCATAGCTTTTCTGTCCCCATCTGCTTGGGTCATGTGTTGAAATTCCGAGTTCCGTCTATTTATCCTTGTCCGCTATCTACATCCCAATGCCTCAATGTAACTCTAGTCCCTCATGTCACCACCTGTGATGTAAGATGGCCGGCACCAGCGCCGCAAACGTCTTTCACAATGAATAAGATCCAGTTTGACAAAAAAAAGAAAAAAAGAAAAAGGAAGAAGATCCAGTTTGCCAGAAAACCTCAGCAAGAGCTCCAAAATTCAGAACTGGATTACTGAGGGCGAAAAAATATTTCCGATCTGTCACTGACTGGCCCTGACTGACTGGGGACTATTGTTGGCTTGTCCAGCATACTAATTTATTACTAAATCGTTCGAAATACTTCTGCAAAAGTCACCAAAAACGTTCTGCCGAACTTTCCAGTGCTGCCGGGTCTCTCCTTTTGAAATCGTGCTGAACCGTTTACCTGAGCGGTTGATCTGGGGGCGCTGCCTTCCCGCCTTGTGACTTGTACCCATACCATTTGCAGTCCGAGCCACGTATATCATCCCTCTCTACCTGCTACTCTTCTGAATCCGTTGAAGCAGGCTCAGCTAGGGTCCAGATACCTGAGTTCCCTATAATAGCTTGTTTGTGCTGGCCGAAGCAGAGGGCCTGAGTCTGTGTTGTCTGCACTTCTGTAAACCGTGCCTGCTGCTGCGAAGAGCTTTAATTTTATTGGCCCGACTGAAGCAAGTGTTTCCTGAGGGTGTGAACCTGTCTACTTCCGTTCTCCAGATGTGATCACTTCTCAGACGGGCTTAAAAAAGAAGAAAAATAAATAAATAGGACTGGTGCAAAGTTGTCATAAAACCAAGATCGTCCGAGTATCGAAAAATCTGAAGTGCTCATCCTGTTTGTCCTTGAATTTCAACACGAGTTCAGTTTGGCAGCTCTTCAGTACCGTGTGATTCACGTTGCGCTCTGTTAAAGAAAGGATTGGTGTAAAGTTGTCCAAAACCCACGACCGTCCGAGTATCGAAAAATTTGAGATGCTCATCCTGTTTGTCCTTGCATTTCAATTACTAAAATCAATGATTCATGAAAGTGCTAAATTGTTATAATATGGGGTGTGAACCGACAGTCTGTAGAGTTTTCCATCTGGTGTGGGTGAGTGATAGTCTACTTTGATTTTGGTTAAGGTAGATTATCATTTACAGTGTAATCAGTGAGGGGATTCTGCAGACTGTTGAGGGTTCAGCCTCCTGATGAGTCGGTGAAACTCCGACGAAACAGTTTGTCACAGCCCCTCGTTTGTTGTCCTCTTCTCGCTCTCTGCCTACGGTTTACCGGGCAGTTCTGTTTGTGACGATATATACATAATATATATGTATATATGTATCTATATTATTAAACTATTAAATTCATTTATATTTTTTTATATTTGATATTCTTTTATATTTGATATATTTTTATTAATTAATATTATTGATATATGCATATATGACATATATATGAATAATATTTATTCAGTTGGGCAGCTCTTCAGTATCGTGTGATTCACGTCGTGCTCTGTTTTCTTGTACTATATTGCCAGTAGCAGTCATCCATGAATCTGCTACTACCATCTTCCCTCTAAGAGAACGTATGATCATTGCAGGTACCAATCCTTTTCTATAAAAAGAATAACTAAGCTATATTCTTCTCTCAGTGATACCTCATGCTACCTACCTACATGCCTTAAGCACAATAACCCATGTCAGACCGTAACCAAGACCCACTAAACCTAGCAGCTAACCCCCAGTGAGGAATGACAGGGGGGTGAAGCTCCCCCGGGAGAACCCAGGACTCTACCAATGCCCACCCTGGGAGAACCCAGGACCCTACCAAGGCTGACCAGGGGGGCGAAGCCAACTATCTCAGCTTGATGAATACCAAGCGGCACCCGTGGGGGATTGAACCAAGGACCTCTTGAATGCCACTTGCACGCGAAACCAACTGAGCTAGGCCGTTTGCCCTTTACAGGTACCAAATTACAGAAAGTTTTGTAATTATATTGATACAAGAGGAGGAGGAAATTATGTGAGAGGAGATGATGATGATGGCGAGAGGAGGTGGGAAGGTGACATTGGTCCAATGGTGTGTTCTTCGTCTTCTCTCTCCTTGGTGTCATTCGACTTCTTCTCGAGCTGCGATGAATGGAATTGTCTCACAGTTGTATGGCCAGGATCATAGAAGGATCCAGGGTATTCGGAGGCTGGCACTCCCATCCATCGGGATCCCTTGTCTCTGCTGCACAGTTTCAACTGGGGATGCAAAGAAGGAAATTTACTATTTTCCGTTTTTGGCTATCCGTACGTGTGGATGGCTATCCAGACTGCCTGTATGTGGATGTCCGGGTCTGGGATTCCAGATGGGAGGTCCAGATGAGGCCCTTTCCCAGGAATTATAAAAAGGGGGGGGCCACCGTGGATGGTCGGTCGTGTCCCTGGCAGCCCTCCAAAATAATTTGCATAGCTTTTAATAGGAACCATTGTGATGATCCAGACAGGCCTGGACCCCTAAATGGCCAAATATGCCAGACCCCGTGACAGTCGTCCTGGAACCACAGAAAGAAGTAACAAGTTCAAAGAACAAATTAATGGAGTTGTAAAAAAAAAGGGATAGTAATGTCTGCTTCACATGCCCTCTCCCCTCCCTCGTACATCATGGGGGCAGCAGGATCCAACAAAAGAGTGGAAGAAAGCAAGATGAAGAAAACAAAATTTAGCGACGGGAACTGGTCGTTGTAGCTGCCAAATACATCAATTAAAAAAAACTAGAAACAGAGGGGGAAAAGTTGAGGGCCATTTATCATGCCCCTCGGCCGCCCCTCTGGCAGGATGGTGGCAGGAAAAGCCAAATAAAGCAAAAACGAGGGCCACATGAACCTGACCTCATTCATGGCCAGATGCATTATCAAGAAAATAAGACAGATGCAGGCTAGAGGGGTTATCATTAGGTTTGGTGGAGGTAGGAGGAGAGATTGGGAAGAGTGGTCTGCAGCAGCATTGGGCAGAGGAGTACTCACCTGGGCGACATAGCTTCGGGACTGTATACTGGCCATAGCTGGGCTTCACTTTGCAATCTGCTGTGGCTCAAGGAAGCATCTTTGTGTGCTGGCCATAGCCGGGCTTCACTCTGCAATCTGTTGTGGCTCAAGGAAGCATCTTTCACTGGTCAGTATCTGTCTAACGAGAGAGAGAGAGAGAGAGAGAGAGAGAGAGAGAGAGAGAGAGAGAGAGAGAGAGAGAGAGAGAGAGAGAGAGAGAG